AATAACGCTTCCAACGCACTCGTCATTTTCTTATTTAGTGGTTGTGAGACCAAGATGTTGATGACAAAAAGAGAAAAAATGGTGGTTCAAGGATTGCTAATGTTTGAGAGTGACTTGCTACTCGTGCTACAAACTTCACCAGTAGATTCTTGACCCTAAAATGAACAAAAAAGTTCATATTGACCATGGTCCGATTCTCAACCATTTCAGAGTAATTTCGCTTTTTATCGATTTTGAAAGATATCACGTCCTGGCGTCGGAAAATCGTGATATCTTTTAATCTAAACATTTCTCTTAAAATCTATAAGCACCGTTGAAATCCCCGTTAATTTTTCAATAAGAAGATGAAGGTGGCAAAACGTTTGGGTCTTTCTTCCTTGACCTTCTAGCTGTTTGTAAACTTCTTAAGCATTACATACTAAATGGGCATTAAATTAAATTAAAAAATTTCAATGGAATTATGATTTTGATTCTCTCTAAAAATTAACGGGGATTTCAACGGTGCTTATAGATTTTAAGAGAAATGTTTAGATTAAAAGATATCACGATTTTCCGACGCCAGGACGTGATATCTTTCAAAATCGATAAAAAGCGAAATTACTCTGAAATGGTTGAGAATCGGACCATGGTCAATATGAACTTTTTTGTTCATTTTAGGGTGAAGAATCTACTGGAGAAGTTTGTAGCACGAGTAGCAATTCACCCTGTATATATGTTTTGTTTCTATTCTGTTTTTGAAAACCTGAGATACAAACGGGAGACTAGCATTCTAGGATATCAATGTAGTATGTATTTGAAATCAGAGAGACATAAACCAGATCGAGACGCTCAAATGGCTGTAGTTTCAAACAAAATACGCCGGAAAGAAGAGAAAAAGAAGAAAACACGCAGAAAGCCGGCGATTACCTCAGCTGTTTGTCGGCCCATAAACTTCCAACTTTATTATTTGATTAAAGTTAGACTATAGTAGTAGTAGCAGCAGGAATACACGAGTTTCAGTATTTTCAGAATGTGCTCATCAATGGTAGAACACCAGTAATCATATACTTTATATAAACATTTAAAATTATATAAAAATTCAAGGACAACCTGCTTTAAAAGAATATGACTTATACCAATCTAGCGTCGATGAATTGTATTACGTTATGATTAAAGTGTATAAAACGATTTAAACAAAAATACATTGTTTATTGTTTAACATGCCGAAACAAATAATTAAATTGCTACAGACTAAGAAGATTTTAATATCGACTAATTGATTAATAATTGGAACGATTAACTTCAAAATAAGTACTTTTTTCTAACAACCCGGTTAGATAATTTCTAAACCTGATTTCCAAATAAATATACGTAAAAGTGCCTTTACCTCATCAGAGCCTGATAAAGGTGTTAATTGGGCAAAACAGCGCGAATTCTCACTGGATGAGTAAAACAACGGCAAATGTTAACAATCTGGATTACGTGACGGGAATGAGTCGAGGAAGCCGCAGTGCCACGCCGTTGTATTGCAGGAAGCCGAATGAATCGCACATGTTTTAGATTTAAACTGCAATGTACATGTATATATATATAAACAAAGAGGGGGGCAGGGATTTGCATAATTGTCGCATAAAAATATACGGTATTTTCTGGGACGACAGTGGAAATGGATTTATGCGACAACGTATCAAATTGTCCGTAGGGGTTGATTTTTATGACCTATCACGACATGAGATTTAACCGTTGGGAGAAGGAGCTTTATAATTTAACAAAAAATAAACAAACCGAGTAATTTATATAAATATGTTATATATCGGTGTAAACCTTACTAAATTTTCTATTATAAAACTTTATTTTTAAGTTATTTTTTTACTTTACATTTTACTCAATTCACTAGTTATCGTGTTCCGCTTGACCAATTAATATCTTTCAATAATTTTAGGTTTTTAGTTGAGGTAAAAAAGTCAGTGTCACAAGCGGGATTCGAACCCACGACCTTCGGCTAGATTCGGCGCTACTCTACCACATGAGCGAGCGTGATATCGATCCACTCGGACACGAACATCCCATCTCAACCCCACCAGAAAAAAATGAAAAAGGCAAAAAGGAGGGAAAATCCAAAGGTGGGGTTGAGATGGGAAGTTAGTGTCCGAGTGGATCTAAGTCACGATAGCTCAAGTGGTAGAGTAGCGGCGTATCTAGCCGAAGGTCGTGGGTTCGAATCCCGCTCGTTTACATTTTACTTTGGTTATGAAAAAGTGATAACATTGGATGGAATGAAACGAGTAAAGAAATTAGAATCATGGGAAGGTCCTTTTGACACTCCTGTTTTGCATAAAATAACACGATTTTGCGTTTTACTCTAAAAAATTGAATTTTTTTCAATTTTTTGTGCGCGGGTAATCGTTTGTAAGAGCAAATGAATTGAAGGTTAAATTTTAATTTTTTATAATTAGTCTTAATCAAAATTTGTATCCTCTTCTACCTAGAACATTTCAAGCTTTTTTTTGTTAAATTCATTAAATTTCGTGTTTTGATTGACCAAATAACATCTTTCAATTAATTAATCTATGTAAGGTATTAGTCGAGATACAAAAAGCGGAAGGTCGTGGGTTCGAATCCCGCTAGTGACGCTGACTTTTTTATCTCAAACAATACCTAACATAAAGATTAATTTTTTTTTATGTTCGACATCCGGTCTGTCGCATCAATTGTGTATTCCTCATTTCTCACATCCTCGATGAGAATCGTGTAAACGAAGTAATACTGCGTACGTAAAGTTCAAAATTAAATGCCTGCATAATTACTTCCCCAAAACTAAAGACAAAAGTCAATTTTTTTTTGTAACGTGTTACATCCTACTGTATGATTGTACATGTAAATAATATCCGCTAGCTACAGATATAGGGCAAGAATAATCTTTGTTGGAAATCAATCTGGATGACAGGGTGGATAACCTAACAGACAGAAAAATTTAAATATGTGGCGTGAATTTGGAAAGTGTACATTTATTGTTTATTGCGTGTTTCTTTTGTATCTAATTTACAAACTTTCAAACCAACTATATTGTCTTTATTTAGCTGTTTATGTTTTAGAAGGCATGATAGACGTAGTGCTTAGAGCAACGGTGTATTCAGCCGAAGGTTTTCGGTTCGAATCCCGCTCGTGACGCTAACTTTTCACATCTCAACCAAGAATTTAGATGAAAAAAATAATTAACTGCAATAATTAATATGGTCAGTTATGACCACTAAAATATGTCTAAACTAATGTATAATCATGCAATTACCAATATTTATTGAGTATAACACATGATGAACTTTCTCATATGCAATTCATACGTTATCGGACGTTCATACGTTATTATTTCCTTATTTGGATGATATTCGTAGTTATTACTTACATAGATTCGTTTTTTTAAATTTTTTATTGTCGTTAAACTTTGAACTATGATTTTATGATAGTTTAAAATAATGCTTATAATGACATATATATCTGATATCAAGCATATCAATGAAATTATTTTATAACTTTGAAACAAAATTTTATGATTTTACCATTTTTTTGGTATAAATTGATTTTCCTTTTCTTTATGAACGCTTATTCAACGTTATTTTTTATCCTGCACAAAATATTTTAGAGGGAAATTGTACGTATATGATTGGAAAATTTAACATATTTGTAATTTTACCTCCGTGCTTTGGATAAATCGCTGAGATAACCGTTTCCTAGGAATATGGAGAGTTTCATGCGGATCGACTACGATGAAATTGGTTATTGCATGGCTTCGACGGCAATATTTCATTTATTGGAAAAGTTATAGTTGTTACCATTAAAAAAAAATTCAGGGATAAATGTAACCAATATTTATTATTCAGCTTTAAAAAAAGATAGATTTTTATTTTTTTATTTCAAAGATTTTAATATATATTTTGTCCGCTTTAGTTTTAAAAAATTCTGTTATCAGTATTTGGAGTTGTCAAATACAAGATCGATTGGAGTAGGAATAAACTACTTATAATCAGAAGTATTGAAAAATGAAGTACCGTAGCTAATTGTACAAATTGCGAAAAATGGTAATTTGTTTATTTCTCATGTATTTATTAAACTGAAGCATAAAAATTGGAAGAACTGTTTAATTTATTCCACGATCTGCATTGTCACTGAGCCATGAAATGAAAAAAAGTAATTTATTTTTGGAAGATAATCCGTATTCATTAGTAAAGACACGTTTCTAATACAGCATACCGTGTTTTTCGTATATGTTGAATGTTCCTCTATCTCGGAGAACTTCTTAAAAAGAAGGGAATGAACTTCTTAAAAAAAATATCTTGAAACGAGTGTTATTAATATGAAAATTTCAATGGTATGCCCAATTGATCTGATAGGCGGAATATAATTAAATCTGATTGATCGTGCAGCGGTATGAAGACAGATTTATAATTTTATGCGAGACGAATGTATGTGGGTTGCAACACCGAGGATGGTTCATAAATCAAAAAGATGAAATAAAATTTTTAAATTGTACTTTAAAAGACGGATAGGTTAAATTTGTATAGTAGTTGAACTGTATCGCAAATTAAAGCTGTTAAAATGAGCTTTTCCACAGTATTAAAAGAAAATGAAAAGCCAGCAAGAGCTTACACGTTTCAGTTTGAAGTAAAAATTAATATTTTTAAAAATGTGACGTAAAGTGAGATAAATTTACACAAATGAAAAAATTCTATGATACTTGATTATTAACATTTTTAAAATAAAATCAGTTCTTGGTTTTGTTTTCATATGGTTTCACAAATCGATGCTCCGGATTAACAGAAAAAATACAGTAGTGTTTTAAATAAACTTGATTCGTATGTGCGAATTTTCAAGATACATATTGCATTTTACTATAGCATAAGTAAAACATTTTTGGAATTAGTATTATATTAAAAAAGTTACCGTGTAATAAAATAAACTAACTAGCAATCAATACATAGTTTTGCAGTTATTATCAGTTAGAGTATGTAAGTTAGAAAACTTACCTGATGCGAGGGTGTGCACGAAGAGAAGAATACATGGTTGGAACAAAATCATTTTTCTAAATCACATTTCACACATCGTCAAGACGACAAAAGGAGATAACATGCCGGGGCAGAGTTCAATCGGGGATGTAGATCCTAACGGGACAAAAGCTGGTTCGCGACTGGCCACCCTCGAGCCGCCTCCTAGCCACCCCTTGTACATCACCGCCCCCAGAACCCACCCTTCTTATTAGTCACCCAAAGAGATAAAACCTACCTGCTTCACACAAGATTTTGCTGATTTTATCCGAAGTCTCAGAATCGACTTATCCTTAATGTAGTGGAGAGAAGGAATACTCCCTCACTAAACCGATTCTCTTTCACTCTCACTCTCGCCCTTTCTTTCTTTGGGGGTCTTTCTTACTTCCATTTTGCAGACCTCAAATTTCCCAACGGAGCTGAGTTTGCTTCGCCTTTTTTGTAAAAGGAAATCTCCCGCTGTCGCAAAATAGTATTAGAAACTCGACGATAATACGGCCTAATAGGATCTTATTCTGAGTCATATCAGAATGTGCAGAGTATTGTCAAAGAAAATTGAAATTTTTTCTTTAGCTTTTTGACAAGATACTTCAAAGGTATACACTTATCTTATTATGGTAGAAACATGATTTTTATTTATTTAAACCTGCCCAAATTGCGGAGCTGAAATAAATTTATTACAATTAATTAAGGTTTTTAGTTGAGATAAAAAAGTCAATGGCACGAGCGGGATTCGAACCCACGATCTTCGGCGAGATACGCCGCTGCTCTACCACTTGAGCTATCGTGACATCGATCCACTCGGACACCAACTTCCTATCTCAACCCCACCTTTTGAGTTTTCCCTCCTTTTTGACATTTTTCAAATGTCAAGTAATCGGATTGGATTCTCGGCGACAAATGAAATGGCCACGGAGAACATTAGTAAAGTATACTTCATTTTTTAATTTATTAAATTCACTAATTTCGTGATCCGCTTGACCAATTAATATATTACAATTAATTAAGGTTTTTAGTTGAGATAAATTCATTTGTCGCCGAGAATCCAATCCGATTACGACATTTGAAAAATGGCATAAAGGAGGGAAAACTCAAAAGGTCGGGTTGAGATAGGAAGTTGGTGTCCGAGTGGATCGAGGTCACGATAGCTCAAGTGGTAGAGCAGCGGCGTAACTAACCGAAGATCGTGGGTTCAAATCCCGCTTGTGCCATTAACTTTTTTATCTCAACTAAAAACCTTAATTAATTGTCATATATTAATTGGTCAAGCGGACCACGAAATTAGTGAATTTAAGGAATAGATTTATTCTCAATTTTTATGAACGTACAAATTGAAAAAATATTAAAAAAGGAAGACCTATCTGTAACTTAACAAGACAGGAGGCAGAAATGCTCTAATTTAAAAAAAAGGTTATCTAGAAGGGTGAGTGGTGGCTTACATGTAGAATTTGTAAAAAAATAATTGTTTGTGCAAATACTTGTAGGTAATTTTGGCTGCTTTAAAGACGTGAATCGTATTAGAATAGAAAGAAAGGAGATTGACGATTGTTCAGAGGATTTTGGTTTGTTAGAAATTGGTTACTTTGGCGGTTACAACGTTTAGTTAAATTCTCAAGTTTGATGGATGTATTTGGATTGACTTTGGCTTATTTGGCTGAAAGAAGGATAATATTGTAGTGCGTGGGAGTAGTAGTTATTATTAGAATATTGAATGTGATATGATTGTGTTCAAATGACGGGTCCTTTATGAGAGAAAATAATAGCGGTGTCATCACCATAGTTCGTAAGGATAGTTTCAGAAAATGTACGAGTGTACGGCTTATATTGGGTACAGTAAGAATATTCATGGATAATAAGAATGAATATACTTCATTGAGGTACACCTGGATTCATGGGTCGGCTGAAAAGGAGGGGCTGCTGATGACTTGTAAATATTTCTAGAGTAATTTAGATTCTAGGATCAGGTAAAATGATAACCTAAGCTTCCAGAATAAGCTATAATTCCATAACCAATCGAAGGCTCACGGTTGGAAAAGGACGAGCAGCACACATTTTACGCAAAGAATGTAGCAAAGTCTTCAATGAAATGCCGCAACTAAATATGGGAATAAAAACGCCTGAACAAGGTAAAGTCGGGAACACACCCGATGCAACGCCATGCGACGCTACTCGATGCTACCCGACGCAAATCCAAAGTCCAATTTTCCATAAGATTGTACTACCCCCGTGCACATCCGCCCGATGCTACGCTACTCTACGTTCTGCGATCCCCACTATCTAGATTTTCGTCGGGTAGCATCGAGTACAGTCGAAGATGAAAGAACCGGACACTCATACTTTTATTCGAACTACTTGTATTATTGCCGTAATAACATATTTATTTTAATATAAACCAAATTAACCGAGATCAAAAATTCATAAGTTTCTATTTAAAAAAAATAATTTTAATGGTTTAACAGAAAATCAATCAAAACACCAGAATACCATATTTTGATATAATGAATTTAACTAACAATTTATTACTCGGTTTTGCTCATACAATTTAATGAACAATTTATTTCATTGTTTTGCTCGTAAAATGATACAATTTTTGTCGGGTAGCGTCAGAACAAGACACTCATATTTTTTTTAGTTTATTTCAAACTAAGTAAATGTAATTCTGTCGTTATGATAATTACTGCATTTTATATTTTAATGTAAACCAAATTAAACGAGATCAAAAATTCATAAGTTTTTATAAACATTGTTTATTTATGATGGTTAGGAAGAAAATTTATCAAAACACCGGAAAAATTTTATTTATAACAATTAAGTTTAACAAAAAATTTATTACATGGTTGTTCTCAAAATAGGGCATTAAGAACAAAAGAGACGTTGCGACCGTGATACTAATTATTGTGATACATGCCGTTTGACTGTACGCGGCGTGTGCTTGCAGACAGATGTGCACACTATACCAAAACGTGGCAACGCGTCGGTTCGTATCATCGGATAAGTGTCTTCCCGGCTTAAGGCTTACTAGGTGTAATTGATGTTTCCAAAGCTTTGGAATCATCCGGGAAAACGTAATTATTCATTGGGTTAAGAAGAAAATATATGAAAATAAAAATGCCCCCTTTTTAAGTAGGTTTCGAAGGATTTTTGGGGTGATTGGTTCAAAATCAGAAGCTATATTTAAATACAGCTGTCTTACAGCATGAGATACATTATTGGATTTGTGTAGTTTTGGTCTTGAAGAGGTTGATGTTAGGTCTCGATATATGAAGTCATATACGTCAGAATGAGGAGTGAATACGCTGGAGATTTGGGATGGATCAGGGCGCCATCGTGTCACATTCAGAGTGATGATCGTTTTATTGTGCGAATCTATTTCGTAATCCACACGTTAGAAATGTTAATGTCAGTTTAGCACTGTAAGGAGAAGACTTTCAGAATCTGGATTACGTTCGAGAAGGCCTGCCACTGGTCCAGAACTTCTGACAGGACACTGATCACTCGGTTAAGTTTCAATTAACAAGATCAAATCAATTGGTCTGAGCGAGATTGGAATAAAATCAGGTTACCGGATGAGTCAAAGTTTTGTTTGAGGTCTTCTGACGGCCAGGTTTGGAGAAGACCAGGAGAGCGATATATCCCCGAAATATTTGCAATCTGAAGAAACTATGTGGTAGTTGTGCTATGGATTGAGCCAGCATTTCTATGGAAGTTTCCACAAACTTGATCTTCATCTAGGTTTCCCTAACAGCTTCCCGATACATTGAAGACGCGTTATCTCAATAAGCTTTTCCTTACATGCCACTAATTGGAGAAGGTTTTATTTTTAAGAAATTCAATGTAATCCCGACTGAAACCACATCGAACACATTTGGGATGAAGTGTCAAAGGGGGTAAAATTTGCCCAGCGATGCCAGAGAATTTGCAGGAATTAAAAAAAGCCCTGTTGGAGGAGTATGAAAATATTCCACAGCACTACATTCAAAACCTCATAAAATCTATGCTACATCGAATGGAAGCGATGATCAACGCAAGAGAAGGAAATAATCCGTACTGAATTCAATATTCCTTCATTATTTATATAGTATCACTTGTGGTAAAAACTTTTTACTCATTTTTATTTTTAACTAATTTTTTTACTTAGCTTTATCTTTCTTTTCTTTATATCCAGTAACCAACAAAAAATAAAAATTGTAACAATTGCAAGTATTAGCTTTAAAAAATGGGTGGCCACCCTTTTTACCTCTCAGTGTATTTAATTATGGTTTACATTTGACATAGCCGTTTGTAAAATTGAGAATTTTAGAAACAAGAATTTTATAATATTAAAATACTTTTGTTAAAAAAACCTAAATATAAATTTACGGCTGTGTACTTAATTATAAAATCTGTAAGATTTTCGACTTCACTAGAGTAAACGTGAAAACTAAGTAGTATTCAAATTCCGAACTATTCAAAAAACCAGTTCAAGAATCAGACAAGCCGTGACCTAAATCTGTAAAGAATAAATATTTGAGAGGAAACTACAAAATAAATAATTCCTTAATAATATTATTTTAGATGGAACAGAACAAAACGCTTAAATCCGACAGTAAATTCTCTTCGCCTGCTCGAGCTGTATCATTTTATTTCTTCATTTCTTGGCAACAAGGGAACCCTTTTCTGAGCTGTTATAAAAACGCAACCAGTCTATTCGACAATATTATTATTAAGATATTGTCATGAATTATTTTTTTCTAAGTTTAATGGCTGGGAAGTTTAATTAATCTTTCTCTCTTTTCTTGTATCAGTACACATTGGGGTGAATTGTTTTTCTTTGAAATTGAACATCTGACATTTTTACTTTTATAAAATTGTTTTATGAAAAGAGAAACTGTTAAACCGTCCGATTTGGTGTTCTGAAAAATTAAAAAAAAACTTGTATAAAGTTAATTCAGGCATTTAAATTTAATGGTTCAGAGTTGTTCATTGAGAATGTCAGATTAATTACGGAAATTGAGTGTGTATGTTACAAACTCTCAATTTAAAGATTTCAACGGTGATAAATTGATCATATCTTCCAAGTCGATAAAAGATTTTAAAAATAATTTGTTTTTTCGATTAGTTAGTTCATTAAAAATACGTGAGGCATTTTGA